CACGCTCGCCAAATTTGAATAATCTAGGTTTTTACCTTGTGTATGCTGTTTCTGTTGACAACGAAGAGGCACTTTACTATCGCATTGTGGATGTCTGTCAGACTGTCCGCTACTGCCCCGGCATCTTTGAACGGATGCGGCGGTCCATGATGAGACGTGTCGAGGCGTGCATTGAATTTCATGGAGGACATTTTGAGCACTTGTTGTAAACGTACTCTTAATAATTCTCAAATGATATGTTTTCGGATACATGTTAATATGGATATGTTTTCTTGTTTTGGTACCCTGCATGTACATATATACGTGTAACACACACACACACACACACACACACACAAAGTTAGCTTATGCCTTTTCCGTGCATAAACGCAGCTCGCGAACTACGGCACTTATCACATCAACCCCTGATGATGGAGACAGTCTCTGAAATGTGTCGAAATGTCGGACAACAACTCCACACACAGGGCTCGTCCCCGGAGAGACTTTGTTGTACTAGCATACTGTCGCTGTGTAAGCTTCAAACCCTATGTGAATTATAGATACTGTTATGAATCATGGGTATTATTACGTTTTGGGATTTATTAATCTGCTGTATAACTGTCAACTTCTCAAAAAGAATTATGCTTATAGTCTTGTTTTCCGTCTATAATGAAACAATATTTACGTAACAGTATTAATTCACACTTAATTCACTAAATGTTCGTTAAATGTTTCAAATTTCATTAAGCTGCATAGGGTTCTCTCAAGGTAACGCATTTTTTTAAAGGAGTCTACTGGACTGTGAAGCACTTTAAAAAATGTGTTGCCCGAAGATGGCCCCGAAGATGGCCCTATGCTGCTGAAGTACGTATGATAAACACCAAATGTACATATATTTTAATAATTTTGTCGACATTTTAAACATTTAACGAACATTTAGTGAATTAAGTGTGAATTAATATTGTTTAATTACTACTGTTGCATTATAGAAGGAAACCAAGACTATAAGTTATACCTCAATGCAACAGAATGTACATATATATAATACTAGAATTATGCTCTATGAGTTTAAGTTAAAGAACTTAACCAGAGCTTGTGAGATGTTACGGTCTAATGTCTATGACTGTGAAGAGTACAGTCTTGTTGTCTGGTATAACTTTACCGACATTTCGTCGGAATTTCGCCTTCATCTTCAGTGTCAAAAATACTCGGCTTGTTGCTACTCTGTTTGCTGTTAGTGTGTTTGCTTGCTGGGCTGAGACCTACCCTTCGACCATGAAGATGTAGTACTTTTCTCTGAAACCTTGGCAGATCTCTATTATAATATACGGTGTATCGTCCTAGGAGACAGTACTTTTATTACTAGTATTCAGTAGAGAGTTTTTCGTTCCCTCATATTTCTGTACGAGTACAATTGTGATTTCTGGAGCTCATGATAATGTGGAGGATTTGGAACCCAGTTGCTTTGTATACTGATTCCATCAACATTTATTTTCCCTGAGATACAGATGCTGTTTTTATCAGATATATCTTTAATTTTCTTATACTTCCTTTCTTCTGAATACCGAGTTTGCTTACCCTTGATCTGTCAAGTAGACAACTCACATGTTTCGCCATTTGATTTGATGAAAATGTGAGGAGTCCATTTAACCGACGCTTTCTTAAGGATAACGAAACCGAGGAAGCTGTGTTTTATGTTTGACCGACACTGCCAATTATTTTACAAATGATTGCAACTAGAGAAGAATATTTTTATTAATATTATTATGCATTTCTAGTCTCTCCCGTGAATTACACGAGCCTCCAAATCTCATATCCCTCAATTTGATCGTCGTGATATCTGCTGAAAAGTGCGAATTATGAAGCTGTTCTTTATGAAATGTTTTCCAGTCTCCAGTTATATCCGCCTTCTTCGGACCAAGCAGTTTTCTGAGCGCCCTGTTCTCAAATACCCTCATTCTGCGTTCTTCCCTTAATGTGAGAGACCACATTTCACGCCTCTGTAAGCAACAGGTAGAATTTAGAATTTGAGGTTCTCACAGCGATGGTTATGAAGATATAATGTCTACTGTCCATTGAAATTAAACCGACGTTTCGGAAGAATATGCCTCCACCATCTTCGTTATCGAAGCAAGAAAACTAGCAAGAAGCAGACAGCAACCCTGATGTCTTAGTATATCATTAGAAGTCACTTCGCCTCCAGGTTGGAGTCAGTGAGGAGACACGAGATGGTGGTAGTATCCCCCTCCCGCTCTGAAAGAAGGATGTACCTTAGAGGTAAACGACACTTCTTCAAAGACGGATATCTATGGTTCTGCTATCGCTTTATTACAAGGAGGCAGTATCTGCTGTTGTTTCTTTGCCTGGCGCTTACTGTAGCACTGCAGGTGACAGCCACACACATTGGCGTTGCTGTGAGGTTCGAAACAAATCTTTAAAGCTGGCCATACGTCACTCAAGTGCCATTCCTTACTCCTCATGATCGATAGATTCCACCAGATTGATCCCTGAGATGGTCGAGAGATCTCCTGAGGTTTCCCCTATAGAAATATTTAACAAAAAATGGATAACTGAAAGAAGCTTCATGCTGGTTTCTTGCTTGGGCTATTCTTCGACCCTGAAGATGGAAGAGACATGGTCTTCCGAAAGGCTGATTGACATTCAACGTATTTCACTACGTTATATCCCAGATGACAGAACTTTTCAAAACTGCCGATGTGAGAACCTCAAATCCTGCAGTTAATTGTTAGCTGTTATATTTCTATTTCTGTTCAGTCTCTCTTACCTTCTTCTCCTTCATTTCCTCTCTACTCTTACACCTGCCATCGGGTTAGGCTTACCCGTATGTTCTCCTTGCCACTGTCTCCTATTGGTGCGCCCGCTCCAACAATGCGGCCCTAGTCCTACCTTCCTGTTATCAGGACTACATTTTTCATCCTTGTCTTATTCTTCTGCCATGAAAATGGAAGCATTGCTTTGCTCCAAAACGTCGGAAGCGATCTACTAGTCTACATGGCGTCAAATACAAGTAGAAAGTAATTTTATCCTCTCTGTTGATCGAAATTAATACCAGATGCCCCTAAAAATTCCTGTCTTTCGTGGCGTACAAAGTATCTCTTCAATTTATAATTCATGGATCATTTTGGAATTATTATGCCTTCTGTTATCTGCAGACAGTTTAGTCAATTATTTATGTATAGTCGATTTTGTTTTCCATATTAACGATTTTTGATAATTTTCTAGTGTCATAATTTTGTTTCTTATTGTTTGCTGACGTTCCTGCAAATATCATTATACGGGAACGACGATAACTCTGAAGTACACGAATTAAGTGAGTTATTTTAATGAACTTTAGGCCAGTTTTTGATGTTTTTAATAAATGAATATGAACCCTGAATTACTTTTCTCTTGCTAGATTACTGTTATCTCTATTCGGTACGAACATATCTAAGAGAATTTTAAATTCGTATCCCTCTTTGTTTTGTTATTGAACTTCCCCTATTCTTGTATCATTATAACGAAAAGTTTATATTTTTTGTTTTAAATTAACATTTTCCTTATATAATAGGCCTTTCATATACGAGAAATTCAAATTTATCGATTTTCTTGGTTAACCTTCCATCTAATATTACTGTAGACATATTTCTTCGAAAATCCTTTTCATTATTTGATATTTTCATATTGGTTTGGTAAAGTAAAAAGTAAAACTATAATAATTTATTTAATTTCAAATTGTAAGTATTGTTAATGTTAAAGTCGTCTCTAAAACAAATCAAATGTCTATAAATAGGTTTGTATGTACAGAAGACACTGTCAGTTGAAGTCAGGTAACGTGAAGTGCCGAGAGAAAAGGAAAACGCGCCGGAGAATGGAATCGCCAGAAGCCTGCTACCGGTTTCTAATCCTAGGTTTGCTCGAGCTTAGACTCATTCGCTTGTCACTAGACGCACTGAAACAAACACTGATGATCAAGTCAGCGAAGTGGATGAAACAACGATTCGAAACGCATTACTAACGCTGTATAGCGTTCCCACAGTCACAGTACATGACCCTACTGAGTTCTGTTCAATAATTTCATACACGTATCGGTTTCTCTTTAGACCAGGGCTGGCCAAATTTCTTTTTTAGAAGTCGTACCCAGGCTGCTGAGGAAATATGTATTTGGATTTGAGAGAAAGCTTTGGAAGATGCATATAGAAATTTTATCGGAAAACCTGAAAGTAAGAGACCGTTTGGAATTGTTAAGCATGGATGGAAGAATAGGAGGATAGTGTTTAAATGGGTATTACTCGTAGATAAATTGTATGTGAAGCGATGAGTTGAGGTACGGCCTAGCGACAAGTTTCTGTGAAACAGTAATGAATACTCGAGTTTCACAAAAGGCAGGAAATTTCTTATCAGCTGAGGAACTGGCGACATCATGGAGTGGCGGGTTAGTTGACAGAACTAAACGTCACAGTTATGTAATGTTGGGGATGTACTCGTATCTATCACAGCAGGATCATTCAGCTAATTTTGCCAGAGTAACGACTAGGAATCTGCCCACATGTCTCTGATAGATCATCCGATCAGTCAACCCAGCTTGGACCTCTCTCCCATCTGTAATCCGGTCATCACAGGAGAAGTGAAAAAGCTACAACTTTGCTCAGTGTAGACTGAGTGGGAAAGTTTGTTTTCCTTGTGTTGATGCAATACGTAGAGTTTTCTCTCTCCAGTGGTGATTTGTGTCTTGATAGTTCTCTGGTTCAATACCTTATACGTATCGAATTCTTAACATTTTGTCTTAGCTGTCGCAGATGGTTTGCGTTGTGCTTGGCTTTGCATACCCTGTCTTGATGCTGGTGCAGATGTCCAGAGATAAGGACTAGCTCTATCAGTTGGACCCAACTGAGTAGGTTTTACCTGAAAACGGAGACAGAATCCAGTCTCCGAAACGTTGTGTTTTGAAATATAAAGAAGACGATGGGTAATGTCCAGAAATATAATATTTATACTGATGTACCATCGTCACAACGTTTTAGATCTTGTTAAAGACCAGAAACTTAGTTCCGTAATTGTGCAGCTGGATGCCCTTTTCAGCAAAATAACCACAGAATCGGTGGCAAGGATTTGTGATCCCTCAGTATTCAGTCGATACACAACGGACGTGTGGGTGTGACTGGCTTACAGAGCCGTCCACCGTAACTTGATTCGTAAACGCAGAACATTAGAGAAACTCCCTGTATGTGCTTAAAATAGAACCGAAAGGTGTAGTTCAGGCTAGCGACCATCGTGAGCGTCTGTTAGTTTGACGATACCAAAGTGCATGACGACAAACGAATCCATTGTGTTTTACAGAAGGGACGCCAAAAGAGTGGAAGCCGCATGGATGGAGCTTATACTACCTTCATTACTGGTAGAAGACTAGATCAGTAATGAAATCCAGATGTAAGAGACACCACTGCGTTTCAAATAATATCAGTGAAATTTGGGGCTGCCAAAAGAATTTGTTGCAACATATGTGTAGCTGGAACGCACACTGGAAAGAAGTAATCCTGGACTCCAGAATAATGGTCGGAGAGCCGGACTGCAGGTGGAAGATTTTACGAACAGAAAATTAAACGTAAACCCTTATAGTATTGTAACGTGTCGGGAATCCAGAAGAGTCACTTCTATGGAAACGCTAGAATAGACCGTTGCATAGGAAACAACAATCGCTCTATTGTAGTTCTAACAGGAGTCTTCACGGTTTTAACAGAGGGTTCGTTGCATAGCAGCGACCGAGGTTATAAAACGGGGTTGAATGCATTCGAACAGTCAGTCTTTATCCAACCGTTGAAGAAGAGAGTCTCGGATTAGTCGCCAAAAGAAGTTAGTCTGTTATAAGCCGCCGAAGAAAGCAGTCCAGTATCGGCCGAGACATTGTGTAAGCAGTGATTGTAACACTGCAAGTGGTAATGATTGTAAAGTGTGTAAGGTGAGTGAGTGGAATAAATTCGCTATATCAAACACCACAGCGTAAACTTATTTGTAGCGTGACGCACACAACACGCTACATTATGAAGATGATGAATATGGGACAAATGAGAACGGTTGTACCAATGTCATGAAGAAAATGTGTGAGGTGCAAGGAATGTGAGGAAACAGTTCAAGGGGAAAGGATTTCAAGCGAAGGATCGCAAGATGAAGACGAGGCTGAACATGTAATGACTGAACAGTGAGATGAGTCCACATTCCGAAGAGTTCAATTGGAGTTTCTAGCGGTGACTTCCGCTATCCTACAAGAGATATGAGATGATGGCATCCCAAATGAGAAATATCTGAAATTCCACCAAGCTTCGCGCATATTCATCCTCTTCCCAAGTTCTGTACTCACTGTACCTAGCCATGGAAAATTCCGCAACACCACTCAGTGAGATAATCATTTCAGTTTATATTCGTGTAGATGGGCCGTGTCAAATACCCAGTCTCTTTAACATTTCCTTGCTTCTCTCTTTCTCTGATTTTCTACTGTCATCTGAAGTTGTTTTCTATAGTTAACTGAGGTTGGCTTCCATAAAACTCTATGTGAGCTGAGGTTACGCTAACTAGCTGACTGTCTCAACTATTCTCACATTCGCTCACTCACTCGTTCATTCTCAGTCCTTCTTGAGAAGTCGACAGCTGTTCAGCAACTCAGAAGTTCCTAACATGTAATGAAATTCGATGGTTCATTACAGTGTTCATAAGAGCCGTCTTCTGGTCCCTATCCTGGTCATATGAACCCAGTCTACAGCCCCATCCTTTTCCTCAAATTTTAATTCGCTTAGTGGGGGGGGGGAGTCCAACTGGGTCCACTCGGCACGGCGGCCACTGATTGGCCTATTGTAGCCTGCCCCGGGTGATTATGATGATGGCGAATTTGGTGAAATGAAGATTGGCAGGGGAAACCGAAGTACTCGGAGAAAACCTGCCCCAGAGCCACTTTGTCCACCACAAATCCCACTTGAATAGACCCAGGATTGAACCCGGGCCGCCGCGGTAGGAGGCCAGCGACTAACCTCTTGAGCTATGGCGCGGCCTATCCTTTTCCTCTATGATCCATTGTAATATTATCTTCCAATCTACGTGTACATCTGGATCTTGCTATTGGTCCCTGTCCTTCAACTTTTCCTACCAAGTTTCTATGTGCGTAATGTTCTTATATCCCGTCCGTGCTACAAACCGTGCCCTACGTATCCACTTTGACTTGATTATTCTAATAATATCTGTTGACGAATACTAGTTATGAAGCTCCTCATTATACATTTTCTCCAGCCTTCTAGTGTTATTATTTGATCCCTTATAGGTCAGCATATTTTCCTCAGCACCCTGTCATCAAATATCCTTAGTATGTATGTTTCCCTTAATGTGAGAGACCAGGTTTCACACCCATATAAAATTACTGGCTAAATTATAATTTCGCAATATTTTTGGAGGATATATTGTCTATCTTTATGTTATGATTTGGTCCTGCATTTTTCTGACGAGACCACTGCAGGTACTACTTCCTCTGTGTTCATTTCTAGACTTGCATCCTTACTGACGTCTGTTAGAACTTATGTGCTCTTCTTTACGGTATTTATATAATTTCTAATAAATTAACATAATTAAAAAACAAAAGTTGATATCTCCTGTTCAGTTTCAATTCTACCTGGTTCTGTAGGACATTCCTAACTGTATATCCTGAACCAAAGGCAAAAAGCAATGGCGATTCAGCATCTTCTTGTTTCAGACCATTTTGAACAAGAAACACATTGCACAAATGTTCACCTATACGGACATTACTATATATTTCGTTGAAATACATTTGAATTAACTCAATTTCACGGGTGTACAAAACTGAATGGTAATATTATGCAGTACTTCCCGATTAACTGAATCATAGGCTTTTCTGAAGTGTATAAATAGCTGATATTCTGTCTCATTTTACTGTAATTTTTTCATCAGTGTCTGATGAATGCAAATAATTTGATCAGTAGTTAATCTCTTACATCGGAACCCATATTAATGATCCCCAATAATTTTGTGCACATATGGCGTTAACCTAGAGAGAAAGGTACTGGGGTAAAATTTTCATATGCCTCAGTGTGTTGTATTTTAGCGTCCTGTTTCACTGATTTTCATTCATGATATGTACACAGTGGCCGTCTTGTAGTGCAATCACTTTCACCTGTTACTTCACGACATGTTTCGGCATCATAGTGCCATCATCAGTATGTACTACAGTCAGTTGTATAACCACTCACATTCGTAAGTAATATAGAAAACTCCTTGCAGCCACAATAAATCCTTCCTTGTTCCAAGCAGAAATAATGAGTTTATGAATGTAGAATCCTCCTGCTTGAATCAGTTCTGTCGGAATTTGAGCAATACCTGACTATTTGAACATTTAAAATTTTTCCTTAACATTTTCAACTACAAAAGGACTACATTCAGATACTAATGGCTCAGGTATATACATTTTCATCTGCCTGCCATTACTGACTTCGTCTACTCGTACATTTAGGACCTGAGATAAGCAATTTTTCCATCTGTTCGAAATAGTGTGGGCATATGGAATCAGATTACGTCTCTCATCCTTCACCAAGTTATTTCTACATTCCTGACTCTTCTTAAATGTATTTATATCTCTATGTAGAACTGTATAGCTCTTGTTCTTGCTGTTGGTTGCAAGCTACTTAATTTTGCCTTACAGTTATTATCTCATATTTTTAAATGACTGCTAGCTTCCCATCTTACATTATTCAAATTACCCTCATTTATTTGGCTGGCATCCTTTATCTATTGCAATTTGGTTTGTTTCCTTTGATCTAATAATTTTGAACAACTTTATCGAATAACTACTTACACTGCTTCAGTTCCCTAATAATCTACACTCTTTTTGCTGAAATTTTGGTATAATTTTCTAACAGTTTACCAACCTCTATTGATATCCATACCATCATCAAAGTTTTACAAAGCCGTAAAACCGATAGATATTTTAACCTTGTACTGTTCTGTGCCTTTCACCTCGATAGATTCTTGAGACGGAATATCCTCCCATCAAATTTTCGCCCTGTTCGCTTCCTTGCCCGCAGTCTCTTCCTAGCTTCTGCAATCACGAAATAGTGACCTGTATTACAGCCGGCTCCCCTGAAAGACGGACACCAAATATAGTTGAAGGCTATCTCCTGTCAGTCTCATTGTGTGTCTTCCCATCAGAAGATTTCCAAATGAATTTACGAATGTTGTGATGTGGGAACACCGCACTGTCGAGAGTTATAGTTTTGGATGTTGCAATTTCGGCTATTTCGATTCCACTGTCATTACTAATTTCATGCAAATTTTTGTAAATATTTTGAAAATATCTTTATACCTGTTTTGTCCCTGAAATATCCAGTCCCTTTTGTCGTGTGTTGAACCCTGCGTTGGGGCATACATATTCAAAACAACAGTGTCACACCAGCGATCCCCTGTGATATGTGTGATTCAGTATTCAGTATTCAGTGTTGAGGGGGTGGGCTTCCTCATGCACTTACAACAGTTATTGGTCCATTGTGCATCCCCCTTTTTTAATTTCTACTGTCTCCATACCCTACCGGTACTGGTGCTTACTATCAGCCCCATTCTGCCAGCGAGGTTCCAACCTTCTACTGGCAGTGGTATCTAATAGTTAGTCCCTTTCTCTCAGAGAGGCCCCCCCTCCTCTGGCAGTGGTACCTAATACTTCCCCCATCTACCGGAGGCATTGGAAACTACTTTGGGCGAGAAACTTTTTGGCCAAATTTAGCTCAGAGGTCTCCTAGAGACATGAGGTTCTTTTACGTGCTGTAAATCTACGACACGGGACCCACGGCTTAAAGTCCCTCCCGGAGGAGTTGTTCCCTGAATTTTTTCCGCCCTTAAAAATTCCACGACCCCTAGACTACGGAGGCCGCTGTGATATGTGTGATATTCTATCACTAGCAAATTCTACCCTCTTAACTGCTGATATGATTTTCTTAGGTACAAAAAATTCTGTCCCTAATTCACGGTTCTCGTTCCAATTTCCATAGAAAGACATACAATCGCCTGCTGATTCAATGTAACTCCTGTCGCATCTGACCTGTACTCCCACCGAATGTAGCGTATACTTCGCGAATTCTATTGCAACTGTTGCCAGTGAACATGTCCTATAGA